AGAAACTAGCTCCACTCCACATACCTTTTCAATTTTACGATCTAGGAAGTGCAATTATTACACCTAATAATGAGCTAAACTTCAGCTCAAGCATTTATGAGCTAGTACCAAGAAGATCCCAATTTTTTAGCTCAAAACCAGTGCAGCCAAAGCCCAACCCAAGAGCAGCCATGGCCCAAACCATGAAACAGCATGCAGCCCAAAGAACAAGATGACCCAATGTAGTGAAAGTTGCAAGTATAAACATTGAGTGGGTATTTGAGAATATTAAAAATATTATTATTTTATACATTGTTAACTCTCTTTAATGATAATAATAATAATAGTAATGTTAAGTTTGATTTATAGTTTGTATTTAAATATTGTATTATTACATGTCAAAACATTTGCGACGATAGAGAGATAGAATTTTAACATTCTATATTTTCATGAAGATTGACCACATAGTTTGGTGTTGGAGTAGCCATGCAATAATGATTAAAAGATTGTAGGTTGGTTACGTTGGTATACCAGTAGTTGGGTGATGGTGGTCAGAGGATCATGGTAGGGCGACAAAGGTTGGGGGATTGTAGTCTGGCTAAGGTAATCCAGAGGAGATGATGGTGGTCGGAGGGTTGTTGTTAGTAGTTGACGGAGGTCAAAGGATTATAGCCTACGAGCGATGGTGTCTGAAGACCATAGTCCAGCAATGATGGTTGAAAGTGGCAGGGCAACGGTAATCTAAGGACTACATTTGGCCGGTGACGGAGGTCAGGCGACTGTATTTGGCTAGTGATGGTGGTCGAAAGATCATAGATGGGCGTCATTGGTTGAAGGATCGTAGTTGTCAAGCGACGATGGTTGGAACATCATAGTCTGACAATGATGGTTGGAAGATCATATTTGTCGAGCGACGATGATTGGAAGATCATAATTAGTAGGTAATGACAGTTGAAAGATCATAGTCGGGGGCAATAGTGATTGAAAAAATCATATTAGGCCAGTGACGGTCCAATTATCGTAATTGGTTGACGACTGCGGTCAAAGGACTAAAGTCCGGTGATGTTGGTTTGAGCACTGTAGTTATTGGCTGGCAACAACCTCATGTTGATGTTAGGGTGGTGATGCTCAGGTGATGCTAAGTGATCCTTAGAGCCCCGTAGCTCTCTTGAATCTCAAACCAAACTTTAGGCTCCAGCTCCAAGCTCTTCCCTCCAACAACCTCTCTTTTAAAGGCCAGACAAGCATCAAAATGTGGTTGGGACGAAAATTCAAAACACTTCATGAACTACCCATATTGATTTCCTTTATCATAAAACGTTCATTTAGTATTTAAGCGTCTTAATGATGTTGAAATTAAATGATATTGGGTTTGTTGGATTTTTGTCGTCGTGATGCTCAATTCAACTATAAGCATGTTAGATTTGAAGATCATTTTATTATTAAAATAACATTTTTAATTTTTCAATTACGCATCAAGACCTTTATTTGGGGCTTGGATTGGACAGCTTTTTATATTTTTGGGTTCCCGGATGGTACTAAATTTTATTGTTGAAGTTTTCGATTAAAAAATGGCTCAAGATTCATGCCCAATTAAGGTAATTTTTATGATGTATCAATATTATTATTTTTTTTGTTATATAATGCATAATTAAAATAAAAATGTAAATATGTATGTAGATTTTATTTTAAAAATATATTTAATGAATCAGATTTTTAATGGAACATCTTAAATACTTTTTTGACATATAAGTAACTGAAATTGAGTTTTAAAACTGCTGCAACTATCGAATACATGCCACCTCTCTGAATTCCCCAGTCCCAACCACATGTTGCTGCTTATTTTGCTGTTTTCTATTACTTGATTCTTAACTTGTTTAATTTACCAAATACATCATTTTTTTTTAGAATTGGCATGTAATTCATATTTTTCTGATCTGGATACTTCTCTTTTTTTTAATGATGCTTAAGTAGTTACATTTTTTTTAACATCCAAGGCAAGTTTTCTTGCTACTATAGTACCTCGCTTAATGCCGTCTAAATTTTTTTCCCTTTTTTGTTTAAGTTTGCGTTTATATTTTTTGATAGAAGAAGTGCAAATGAAAAGGGCATTTGTGATAAAATTTATATGAATTAAAACTATGTACTTTCAAGATATTAATATAAACTACTTGTGTCAATTTTTTATACAGAAGCGTGATGCTCCTCCTGGTGAGAAGCCTGAGCCCGTAAGGACTCATCTCCGCAGCATGATAATAGTTCCAGAGATGATTGGAAGCATTATTGGAGTTTATAATGGAAAAACTTTCAATCAGGTTGAGATAAAGGTGTGTTTCTTGTTTAAAAATCCTCAATCAACACAATTAGAGTACTGGCAATGCATCTTTTCACCTTGCTATAGATCTAATTTATGCTGGATATCGATGTATTTTTTGGCTTCTTTTGGCCGCCAATACAAAAGCTTGTAGTTTTAGGACTTACTATAAACGTTGAAGGAGGCTCTTAGTTGTTTTGCCTTTTGTTTTCCTGGTATGATAATTTTCATGTTCCCTGGATTTTAGCATACTCGCAAGGCTGAGTAGCAACAACTGTTTAACTGCCCTCCATTCCTGTCATGTTTGACTTGAGCTGTAAATTTGAACGCTATGTTGTTTAAGCTTCTTTTTTTATTTTCTTATCTATGCTTGAACATGTTCCAAAATTTAAAAAAAATTCCAAAGTTGTTTATTACTATTTTTTTTAGTTTGAGTCATAATTGAGCTTTGAATATATTTAATATTAACAATTTAAACATATATGCATATTATTAGGGAAATGGATTTATGAGTTTCAGTTAAAATTTGTCACTGTTCATTAAGTATTATTTATATTATTTGGCTAAATTCAAACATTTATAAAAATGATTTTTAACTTTTTATGTTTGGCTATATTTTGAACTTGACTCTTAATAGGAAATAATGAAGAAAAATGATTTATGTAACTATTCTCACGTAGTGAAATAAAGACTTGATGTTATGTTGTTATTATTATTGTTGTATGTCGGGTTGTATTTTGATATTTATATGATACTTGTACAGTTGTACCTCAAAAAATATACACAATTTTCAAGAGCATATAATATAAGATAATTGATATAAGAAATTAGAATAAATTTTCATATAAATAATAAAATTTTTATTTGACTAATATTATTAATGTAGGACAACATGCATGAATCGGAAACTTGCACAAAATATGTTAGGAGCAATTCCAGATTTTAGTTATTTGTGATTAAAACAACAAGGTAAAACTCTTAAAGGGTCAACTCAGTAAAGCTAAGCCACACAAGAGAATGAGAATCAAAACACATAGGGAAACTAAGACATTGCATGCGAAATAGTTTCCAACTTAACCGAGACTTAACAATGAAATCTAATCACAAAGAAGTAACAAGCCTACGATTACTAATGGATGGCGATTAGTGGACACAATTTCTTGCTTGCACAACTCTCAACAAAGTAAGTAGAATTTGAAAAGTAAGTGAATCAAGGAAGAAGATCACCTTCTCGGAGAAATGACGTGATTCACTATAAACCTTCCGTAGCTTCTCTTCCCTAGCCTTGATCACAATGATTAGCAAGTGGTGGGTGACCTTCTCTTTGCATTCAACAATGTTTGGAATCAAGTTGAGGAAGGCAAGTTGAGAAGATCCATGCAATCTTAACCTTCGTAAGCAAAATCGGACTCAACTCCGGATCGATCATCCATCTCAAGTCAATGAGGGAGAGACACCTTGAGAGGGAGCGAAGAGAGAGAGGGAGTGGACGGTGGGAGAGGGTGGCCGGCGAGTGGTAAGGGGAAGGGAGACGGTTAGGGTTTAGAGGAGGCTAGGTTAGATGGAATAGAGAATGAGGTAAACTCCAAATCTGAAATTATTCTCAGATTTAATTAAAATGGGAAGGAAATTAAAAGGATTTGAAATTCAAATAGCATGACATTAATTCCCTTAATGAAGCATTAAAGGAGAGGGGCCCATTAAGGGGGCCGGCAGCATGTAGAGGGGATTGGGAGTGAGGGAAAAGGAGTTATGTGTTTCCTAATTCGCTTCGCCTAATTAATTATGAAAATCTCAAATCCGCTCAAATTCAAAATTTAAAAATTTGAAATCTCATTGAAAACTTTCCTAATTTGGCGGCGGGCAAATTTGAAAACTTCAACTTTGAATTTCAGAATTTGAAATTTGTGGAGAAGCAATAAGGGAACTAACAATTGGTGTAGAGGAGGATGGTGGGGAAAACAACAAGGGGGAGGCCGGCGGTCAAGGTGATGCCGACGGGATGAGGGGGCGGTGGATCTTGTTTATATTATTTGGCTAAATTCAAACATTTATAAAAATGATTTTTAACTTTTTATGTTTGGCTATATTTTGATCTTGACTCTTAATAGGAAATAATGAAGAAAAATGATTTATGTAACTATTCTCACGTAGTGGGATAAAGGCTCGATGTTATGTTGTTATTATTATTGTTGTATGTCGGTCTATATTTTGATATTTATATGATACTTGTACCTCAAATAATATACACAGTTTTCAAGAGCATATAATATAAATAATTGATATAAGAAATTAGACTAAATTTTCATATAAATAATAAAAATTTTATTTGACTAATATTATTGAGCTTTAACAAACAAGCATGCTTATGAACCTAAATGAACAAGTGGGGCATTGGACGAGGTTGTTCATTTCTATGTTTAATTTTTAAATTTTCATTCAAATTTATTCAATTACCTAAATAATTTAATATATAACTACTGATTTTTTCATGGAGTTTATTACTTCACTTACAGCTCTACATTTATCATATTTAAAAGCATCTTCTTTACTATACTCTTCTTTCCTGCATCCCTTTTTTTGGTTTAGCATTTCATTCAGCTTCTCATGATAATCTTCACTTATTATTTTTCAATCTATAAGCAGATGTTGCAAATCAAGGGATTATAGATAGATTTCTCTTGCAATTGACCTGTTTTGTATTTCTTTGTTCAGATTTTTCTTTGTTGATAATAAGTTTGAGCAATTTTATATATTGGTAATCTTAACTTTCGTAACAAATATTTAGAAATCTATGACTGGTATCTTTATGTTTATTTTTTTTATCAAATCTACCGAGTTTTTTCTTTTTGTGCTATGACAGCCTGAAATGATCGGTCACTATCTGGCTGAGTTCTCCATTTCCTACAAGCCTGTGAAGCATGGTAGGCCTGGTATTGGTGCAACCCACTCGTCCAGGTTCATTCCACTGAAGTAAAAGCGAGATCTGGAGCCTTTAGACTTCCTGAGCTGAGAGTTTCTGCTACTCTATTTTTCTTGTGGTTTAGAATTGCTCTATGGAACTGTTTTTCAAGCTAGTTATTTTTCACATGTCAGATAGATAATGCTTTTTGATTTGGTGTTTTGACAGAAGTTTAATCGAATTATGTATGGATTTATAAATTATTTTTTGTTTTTATTTTGATCAGTCAAATAAGTAGAACAGCTTAAGGCCAGTACTTTTCTGGTCAAGATTTATTAGTGAAAGGTTGGCGCTAGTTCAGTTTTGAAATGTTCAACCTGGCGAGTATTAGATACAAAAAGGCAACCATAAAGATGAGATATTCAGCGAGACATTCATTAGATAAAATTGTCATCACTTTTTTCTTCCTTTATAGTGAAGATGGCTATAGGGTTGTCAAAATCGGGTCACGGGTTGGGTTCGGGTTTAATCCCAAATTAACCCGGCATTGTTTGACCCGACTCAAACCTGACCCTTTTTTACAAATGGGTCTATTTCTCGGACCCGAACCCGACCCCGCATATTTTGTGGAGATTGCATGAGTCGCTTCTTTGGCTCCTTTGTTGAAGTTCGACTTCGCTCCTTTGATAACGATCGCTCGCTCGCTCGCTCGTTGCCTTGCTGTGAAGGTAACTTTTCTGGGTCATTTCGGGTCATTTCCGGGTTTCCAAGTCAACTTGAACCTGGCTCAGTTTTGCAAATGAGTTGGTTTTCCGGATCCGAACCTGAGCTGACCCGCTTCGGATTTGTGTCAACCTAAACCCGAAATTTTCGAGTTGGTTTCGGGTCTGGTCCAATATTGACACCCCTATATGGCTATAGCTGGCTGCGTGTAGAAGAAGACCCCAACCAAAGTTTCTGTATAGCAGATGGCTCCCACTTCTCCTTTTTTCTGAATGATGGTCTGCAAATTAATGATGTTTTGAGCTTGAGGAATGTTTTTTTGTTGATGGAACCTGCATATTTTGCCATCGTGCGCCTGAATCCACCATCCATGTGTTCTTTGAAAGCCATTTCTTACGAATCCAAATATTTCTCAGATGTCTGAACTGATTTCTAATGTAATGTCCCAGTGTACAAAGCTAGATAGGATTGTTTTCTATTATATTTAGAATGAGAACAACGAAATAAAATTTGGACGGACATCAATTCTCTTCTTCGAGTGACTTCCTAAGGCTACCAGCAGAGTCTTACATGAGGTCCTGGTTGGGTATCCATGTTTTACTTAGACGGGCTTCGTCCACCTGCACCCGCTCATGGTGACTTCCGGGATTTCGTATCCACCTATACCCACTCGCTTTCCATGTTTTTTGAATGCAGTCTGCCACGGATTGATGGCCTTGAAGTTTGTTGTCATGTGTTATGATGACAAACTTTCAAGTCGCATATCCAAATTTATCGTACTCGTATCGTGGTTAAGTGCTGCATAATACGTAGTGATGATTGCAGTAGTATTAAGATATACGGTGATTAGCAATGTAAATTGATTTATCCCTCGATGTTTAATACCCATCCATACCCACCCATACTCATTGGGTATGGGTGGGTACATGGGTGGGTATGGGTATAGATACCCAATGCAGGGCTCTGACTACCATAGCAGAGTAAATTATCAGGTGCAACATTTTCTCAACACTGCTTAAATTGATGTGCTGCAGATAAAGTAAAATTAATTATAGGTTCCATTAAAAAAATATCTTTAAAGGAAGAGATTGCATTAGAATAATAGATTGTGGAATTCTGGAGAGAGATTGCAAAGTTTACATCCATTTTGTACATAAAACCCCCGGGCAATCAGCTTATGAGGTTTTTAAACCTTCATAGTAGACTATCTAGCAAAACAAAGAACTCGAGAGAGCAACTTTTAAGCCATAAAAGCTCGTATCAATCTGCATTAGCCTCATGTGAAAAACAATTTTGTTAGCATTTTCTGTGGAGAAATGAAAGTGAAAATCTCATATAATTTTCTGATGGGAGTGTCATAAATAGTATTTTTTTTTATTAGATTTAAATAAGAATTTAACTCTTCATAATACATGACAAAAAATGATTCATATCATCGGCCTCATATAATGAGATAAAATATTACAGCAGCTCTGAACAGGCTCTTAGGTTTTGTTTGAGATACTTTCTTATTATTGTGTAAAATTAGTACAGAAAAATAAAATTTTAATATTATTGTAGAAAAAAAATGTGTATACATTTTTTTTAAATCAAGTAAAAAGTAGCGGTCAAATTTATAAATTGTGGTTGACGAAATTAGTTATTATTATAAAATTCAAGTTTATTCGAAGATTGATTACTGGAATATTAGTAATTTTTTAGGGTACAATTAGTTAATATAAAATTGGATGCGATGCCCTGCCTAAAACAATTTTTGCTGTCATTCAAGTTCGAAAAAAATGTAATCAGTTGCAGACAATGTGGTCTTCTTCTTTTTTTTTTTCAAAGTAAAAATGCTTCATTAGGCTCGATTAATGTTATTTTAAAACAAAATCACTAAATCAATCCTAAATTAGCGCCAAACCATCGAAGTTTCTTGCAGTTGCATTTCGAGCTTCCCAGTAGTTTAAGATGCCTTGTTGCTGGCTTGATAAAGGGTTATTTGGTTGGCTGAATGTGTTATATTTCAAATATTTTGGAGCTATTTGGATTAGCATAAAATTAATAATGATGATTATTATTATTATTATTTAGTTTGAAATAAAATAAATATAATTTAAAATTTAAAGTTGGGGGAGGTTGGTGATCAGTAATAGCAGTTGTGGTTGAATATGAGTCACTGATTGCAGATAGTGGTGTGTGGTGGTTGCAATATAAGGCAATGATGGAAGTCGGTGGTGGTAGCGACACTCAGAAGTGGGTGGCGGTTGCAATGGCGTTGAGTGACAGTAGCGGTAGTAGCGAAGGTGGCAGTGGGAGGCGATAATGGATATGAATTTATGTCATATTTGGAAATCGTACAAATCGGACGAATTCCAAATGCATCGAAATTCTTTGTTGCATTTATTTTATTTCAAAGAATACATCAATATTCTAAAAATTTCTACATTTTACTTCAAACTAAACAAACCCTAAAGCCAAGGTAAGCCTCTTTTTTTATCCTACCCTCGAGTGGCTATAGAGAAATGACGGGGACGTATTCGCAGTAGCCCTCAATAGCCAAAAAATGTTGATTGCAACAGAAAATTATGGGAAAAGTAGTAGAAAATGACCATGGGCACAATATATTATAAATAATTGTCAACTTGTCTAGAAAGGAATTCATAAATTTTGAAATATTCCGTTAGAATTTCTTCCTCCCTTAGAATTAAGGATAAGGAGAAAATCATGGTTCTCCCTCCTCAGAAGAATGGTAGTGTTAGATCTATTTATAAAACTTATTGACTCTTTCTGATATTATTATATTTTTCTTACAAAGTTAGTGATAAGAACAAGATTGGGCTGGGAGGTCGCCAGTGGCATTGGGATGAGAAAGCCGAGGTTTCCCATTTGCACAATTGTTTTCATAACAATAGGCATCGGAGATTCGATTTGGTGCTCAACTAAGACTTCGTTTTGGACTATTTTTTTACTGCTTTTTAAAACGGAGTTTTGGTACAATTTTTTTTATTTTTGTATTAAAACTCTGTTTTAGAAAGCAATAAAAAAGCAGTCCCAAACGAAGCCTAAGAGAGGATTGATAAGTAGAAGAGAGAAAGTTATATAAATAAAAGGGGGATTAAGGAAATATAGAGAGTGTGGAATGAGATGAGCAATTCATGTGCGAAAGAGATATGGAGTTGGGAAGATTAGAGAAAATGTTATTGATATTTTTGTTTCATTTGATTGAGCTAAATTTTAGAACATATATGAAAGTCAATACATCATCAATAATGTCCCTCAATACTTCTCTTGAGTAAGAAAGCACCACTTAAGATTACGAAAGGCTAAAAAAATCTACATCCACCACACATGACCCAAAAACCAAAAAAAAATTATTGCAATTGATTTGAGTGTTTTGCCTGTATCTTGTAAATAAAACCCTTTATAGCAAAGTAAATAGCTTCCAATAATCTTTACAATGAGCAATATTGTTTTACTATCTTTCAAATAAAGCATTGATGGCCTTCTATATGAAGACACTAAACTTTTACAAACAATATAGTGGCATTAAATATTGCTTCTATGTGTTTGATAATTTCCCTCAATTTTAGATCAAGATGTTGATGGGTGCTTGGGACTATGTGATAGCAGTTAAAATTTGAAGTGCATTTATGATGATTGAATATATTTATAGGGTGCACGTGTAATTAGTAACACCTGAGATTTTCTATGCCCCACATAAATAGCTACTCCTTTGTGCATGTAAGTGCCACGAGCATGACCATGATAGATTATTATTTTGCAAATAAACACAAACATTTTTTTTATTTGAACAAACTATATGATACTCAACAATGTTAATGGTAGAGTAATCATTTAATGAACATTGGAGCTCCACCTTTCATTGGGAAAATCATGTGTGCAAAGAGCTCATTTGGAATGAATTTTTCTCAACTTGATCATGCATAATTAGTGATACTATCAATTTTGCATCTACACCCCATTGTCATGTCATCTGACATTCAAGAATATAGTCGTTACTATATATGATATGATCATTTGCACTTTTATTAGCATGAATATGTTATTATACTAAATAATGCCCCCACACTCATTATTATTACTGTGAGTTGTACCATATATGCCATGATCATCATTGCTATCACTAAAATCATTGCAAAATGCAAAGTGTACTATTTCATATGCTTAGTCAATAGGCTAATATATGCATGTGACATTAGTGCTTGCTCAATTGTTCCTACCATAAAATATCATATGAGAACAAGGTAACTAATCATTTATGAAAGACTCTTGCTAATAAGATGTCAATCTTTGGGAAAACTATTGTGTGGATGCATTATCCATTCGCATCTAAGGACAAAAGAGTATGTCTATTGAAAGTAAAGGGAAAATGGATAATCATTAAATTTAAGAAATTTATTAAAACATTAAATTACTAATAAAACTAGTGTATCATTAAAAAAATTTGTGTGCATCATTAACGTAATTAATTCTTAAGTTCTGACGACCATATTGTCAAAGATGATTTTCGTATAAGCTAATATGTAATTCATTCAGTGTTGCATCCGTCATTTTAAATATGCTCAATTTTGACATATAATATCAATACTTGATATGTAGCATCCTTGAATACTACTTTATAGACTTCATCAATGTTGATATGCAGTGTAAAAAATCAACAATTACATGATTCTAATATGCTAGATTAACTAAAAATCATGAACTACCATGGTTTAATAGTTAAATATCTCACAATTTTTAAGTATTCAAATGTACCATATTTTGAAATTTGTATTAGATAGTTTCATCCACCAGTGTAGAAAGGTGTGAAGTTCTTGTCTACTCTTAATTTTCCTTAAAATAACATCAAATGTGTTGCATCTTAGCTAATAATAAAAATTCTATCTATGTCTTGAATGTAAAATATCAATAAAACTTAATAATAATATACTTCTTCATTGTCCACAATATTATTAACATCATTTTTACTAAGAGATAAAATTCATTAAAGTACAATATTAATTATATACATTTATTAAATATGTATCAATAATTTATAGTTTCAATGTCCAATATATTAGTTCATTATAAAAGTTAAAAATAATTTATATTTTTTTCAACATCTATAAACTTGTTCAAATAATGTAAAAACATACCTACAATCATGCAAAAAAAAAAAACCTACAATCATGCAAATAATAAAACATACATGTAATCACTTAAGGGGAGTCCTTGGCATCCTACTGAGATGGTGCATACTCTAGGCCGAGTATTTGGCCTACTTTGATTTGACCCTAAGCGTGTTGACCTCATTTTTATCATGAGGTCAACCAAACTCATTCAATCAAATCCAAAACCACATTCAAGTCCATAATTCAAAATTAAAATTTAAGGTCAAAGTCCCATGTCATATGGCCCTTTTTGAGTGATTTTTTCAATCACCTCAAAATCAAATCAAATGACAAAAATTCATGATCTATAAATTGCATATTGATTAGGCATAGGGTCAACCCTCCAAATTTGAGGCCAATCTGAGACATCTAACCTTGGAAACTCAGTCTAAATCCAAAGGCAACAAAACCTTCAAATATTTTACAACATATGTCATTGGACCTTCTACCTTACAAAATTTGACCTTGGGGCCTTCCTCAAAACTTTTGAATATGTCCATAATCCTTGTTATGACATATCAAATATAAAAATGCACTTTGGTGGACCCTGGTTGTGACCTAAAGTTTACCAAGGACCTAAATGAACAAAATGCCCCTTAAAGTTAAAATGAAATTTTATATAAACTTCAACATGACTCAATCAAACCAAGCCATGGAACCTCTTATAATGCATCCTAGACGTCATTAGGAGTGTATTGAACCCAAACCCAAATTTTGGTTTGACTAGGTTTGTGAGAGCTCGTTCATTTGATTTGCCTTCCAAGATCTGATTTTCCTCTCAGGATCGTCCTGGGACGATCAGTGCATGACAAAAGTCAGTGAGCAAGGGTTTTTATCGTCCAAGGAAATTAATTATCGTCCTGGACGATTGGATTTTGTTCATATCGTCCTGAACGATGTGGCGATCGGCCGGGCCAATCAGGTTTGTTTTAAAAGAAGATCAGCTTGATTTGATGAGAGAGAAAATCATTTTTTTTATAAAAAAAAATATCTGAGGAGAGAGAAGGAGAAGGAAAGCAAAGGAAAAGCTGGATTTCGGAGGCCGCGGAGATCTTTTCGTTCGTCGCCGCTGTTGGGAGAAGTGTTTATCTCGCAGTAAGGACTCCGAATCCTATTTCTGTTTTCGAAGATGTTGAGTTTTGATAATTTTGTGCTCAGATTTGTGTTTTCGTTACCGAAAAGCGCGCACCGCTTTGTATTGACGAAAGTTTCACCGCACAACTTTTGGTATGTTATTTATATAGTATTTCTGCACGTTTTAATTATTTTTTTGAGAATTTTGACCAGTTAGTTTTGATTCAGCGGTGTTTTATGTTGACTGTAAATTTATATGATGTCGGAAATTGTTTGAGCAGTAGAATAAAAGTCTTATATTGTTGTTGTGCACGTTCTGTATTAATTTGATAATTTCTGATTTTAGGAATTTTGTGTAAATTCCGTATACTGCCGTTATGCCGCTGAGTTTTCGTACGATTTCCGATTTTCTGAAATTGATTATTTGAATGCATACGATTGTGACTATCTGATTATTGTTACTGAAAGACAAGTAAAGACTGGTTGAACCGTTGGTTGGAGATCGACTTGACCTGTACAGGATGGTGGGCCGACGGGCTTTCCTTTAAAAAGGGTCTGGTGTTATCCTCTATTGATCATTGATATAACGATTGTGAGTCATAAGGATATTACTATGCCGACGGGCAGCCGACAGGCACAGAGTGACGACTCTTATTGAACCAACGGATAGATATCTACAATAGCACTATGGATTTCTACAACAGCATTATGGATTATCGACTTGAAAAACGCCTTAATAGCCAGCGATGTACTTGTTCAGTAAGACTATTGTATTGAAGTGCATGTGTGCGGTTTTGACATATTGATCTCGTGATGGATTTATTGATTTATTGATTTTGGATTGCTTTACGGACGGATTTACGGATTTATTGTTACTGTACGATTTCATTGATATTCGCATTGTTCCACTGTTCATTGATTCATTGATCATTGATATTGATACTGATATGGATATTGATATTACATTGACTTATTGATACTATGGACATGGATACTATTGATTCATTGATAATGATTCATTGCTATTGACTCATTGATACTATTGTTTTATTGATACACCATATTGAACTGTTGCATGTAATTCATTGATTGATATGGAATAGGTTTTACTGTGTTGATTTGATTTCAATCGTTCTTACGACGTATTGATTGATTTTGACCAGAGATGATTGATTTGATCGATTTTATTGATATTATCGAGACGATGATTTTCTTCTATTGATTTGATTGGATTCTTGCGAGAAGTATTGTATTTATTGGTTTATTGAGCTTTATGGATTTCTTCCTACTGTTTATTGATTCTCCTATTGTTGACTATGGATTTTATCGATTGTGCATTGACTACTGATTTTCGTATCTGCATTGATTCATTGATCATGTGCAATTGACTGTTATGGACTCGACTGATTGACATGCATATTGCTTTTACCGTGCTTTGATTTCAGTTATAGGTATTAGGTGACCTGCTGGGCTTTTTGAAGCTCATTATATGTGGTTAACAATTTCAGGTCCGAGCGTGGGAGCAGGAATGGAGATTGACCGAGACTGTCAGTTCGAATCCTTTCACTATGAATGCCTGGGGCGTCACAGTATAGTTAAACCGGGGATGGGGATGTTCATGCTTCACATAGATCATAATATTTTATACCGTTATTGGTGTCAGGCATATGATCAATGGCTTCTAGAATACAATAAAATGCTGATGCGATGTTATAAATATGGAAAGAAAAATGATTTTTCTAAATGGACAAGATTTACAGCAAGTTCAACAAGAATTTTATCATACACAAACACAGCTCCAAGCTTATGTGCAATATCTACTTAGGAATATATAACATAATGTGGATGCACTTGTTTACTTTTTTTGAGATCTATATAGAGTTAGCTATGTATTGATAAGTAGGGTTATGCTCCTAGATATTATGTTAGTTTTTAATATTATTTTTTTATAATAACGTTAATTTGTAATGACAAAAGAGAGAAGGTGGTAGCAAGAGAAAGTGAAGTTTGGAACACATATTTCAATCCATCCACAACCAGCTTGGGGAGTCTTCTTCAAAGTTTGAAGAAGAAATTACCAGGAGAAAAGCAAGACCAAAATCCTTAAAATCCATCCATTGGTTGGTGAGATATCTCAACATTTAGCTAGTATTTCAATTTGAAACTACTCAAAATCTACAATGCATGGAGCATCCAAAACTCTAAGCATTGGAAGATTAGGATACCATGAGCAAATGCTTCAAATTTCATAGAATTTCATTGGGTATTTTAAAACTAATGAACAAATAAAATTTCAGTTCATTTTGAACTAAAATAAAGTCGGTTAATCAGAGCTGTCCGATTGTGCATTTAGCGCGATTAGACAACCCATGATCATCCACGTCACCATCCATAATCGTGTGATTTACTAGGGTTTCGAACCCTAATCGATTAGAGCCGCCCGCTTCATAGCATTTCTATAATCCTTATTCAAAAAATTAAGCCATGTTGTTTAGTATAGACTATGCCTATGTAAACGCTTGATCTTGTACTTTATTTGTAATTCAATAATGAAGAAAAGAAGAATCTTTATATTACTTGCTATGGAGTTAATTTTACAACTGAGCTATACTTCATGGTTTTTTTTTTTTTCACTTTTTGGATTTTCAATATAAATAAATTGTCTGATACTACTACTTTTATATGTACTTATCGAATATTTCTATACGTATTAATTTTAAGTTTAAAAATAATCGTTTAAAAAATTTCCGCATATTGAAAGTTAAAACGGAACATTTCGAGCATTCGTTGGTTTCCCTCCCAAACAATGTTTCTATTATTAAAACCTCACATCTTACGAAGTGCGACTGCGTTCATCGTTAGATAGCATTTCTTAGCGTTCTTCCCAAAGAGCTAGAAGAATCGCCCAGCATCTTACCTTGGCATTCAAGGTTTCCATGGGGACTTGCCCTGCTGAGGCGGTGGAGTCAGCCGGTGCGTCGCCGCATAGGAAGCCACGTCTCTTCATCACGCAGATGGTTCTCCGCAACTTTAAGTCATACGCTGGCGAGCAGTGGATCGGGCCCTTCGACAAGGTTTTTCTGTTTTCCCCAAACCCTAGACTTCATCCAGCAGTTCATTCCCCCAATTTCCTGGATTTTACTTCTTTGAGTTATTTTAGGTATTGGATGGATGCTTGCAAAAACCCTAGAGTCCGACATTAAATGTAAAAAGGCCTCTCTTTGGCTCTCTTACTTAATTCCCTCTCAGCACAAGTAATATGATTTTTTTACAGATGATAGGTAGCTGTTTCCTGTAACTTGCAAATTTTGTCGTCTGATGGGGGAAAAAAACATTCCTTTGGGTTAACAAGTTTTCTGCTTGAGCCGTGTCCTTGTTTTCTGTATGTCATTGGATGTTTTTTCTGTATGATTTTTATTTTGCTTGTTCGATGATCAAAATTCGTGCAGTACAACTTTCTGTACTGTTTAGGATATTGAGTGATTTGGCATGCAGTTGGACATATAAACTTCAGGAGTGCAATTTTTGCGTTCTTGTGCCGGATTACCTTCTTTGTTTAAAAAATGAGCAGCTTTTTTTTTCTTGACAGAGTTTTTCAGCGGTGGTTGGGCCTAATGGTAGCGGGAAGAGTAATGTCATCGATGCTATGCTCTTTGTGTTTGGCAAGCGGGCAAAGCAGGTAAAATTTTGCTCCATGTTAATATCCCTTGATTTATTGTTTGTGAAACTTTACACCTTCATTTTGAATCGCTGCATTTGGTAAATTTTCCTCGATGGAATGAAAGTATGTTATGTTAGCTCCAAATGAATGCGGAAATATTTAAATTGCCTGTTTAATGTTTTAAGTAATTTCATCAAACTGCATGCACTCGTTATACTGCAATCGTTCTGGTTGTTCATTGTGCTTTTGCTCTTTTACATAGATGCGTCTGAACAAAGTATCGGAGTTGATACATAATTCCAGCAACCACCAAAACGTTGATAGTGCCGGGGTTTCGGTGTATTTTCAAGAAATTGTTGATCAGGTAATGCTTTAATGATTTAAGTGATTGTTTAAGATTTTCATGATATTTATATGTAATGTTTTTCAGGATGATGGATCTTTTGACGTTGTTGAAGGCAGTAACTTTTTCATTAGCAGAGTGGCATTCCGGGACAATTCATCAAAGTACTATATTAATGACCGTGGTAGTAATTTCACTGAGGTTACAAAGAAGTTGAAAGAAAAAGGAGTAGACCTTGATAATAACCGTTTTTTAATTCTTCAGGTATGCCTAGGGTTATCTTGAAATATTTTTTCAATTTTCAGCTTCTTTACATCTTATCTGGGACTTCACATCCATAATTGCAAAATTCTTTAATGGTTGAAGTTTTTAAAAACTTTAATCAGGCCAACTTTTTGGTTTTGGAGGTTGACATGTACTTGGTTTATGGAGTTTCATATCATCAATCACCACTTGCACTTCATGCCTTGCAATCTATTTGGTCTTGTGTCTACCTGTTTTCATTGTAGGGTGAGGTTGAGCAAATCTCTCTAATGAAGCCCAAGTCACAAGGACCCCATGACGAGGGATTCTTGGAATATCTTGAAGACATCATAGGAACTAATCAATATGTGGAAAGGATTGAATCAGCATATAAAGAGTGAGTTGAACTTTAAGTTTTCTAGTTTGTTTATCTTAACACTATTATTAGAATTTTTACTGTTCAATATTCTCTATATCCATATATAGTGCTTATGAGAACAAGCTAGTCTTAAATGTAGATTTAACTAAGAGTTGTATACTTCGTCACTTATTGAAGAAGTCTATTGTTTAAATGGATTTTTTAACTATTGCAACTTTCGGTTATAGTTATTGCGCAGTACATTTTATTGATTATAATCTGTAGTAGCAAAGGAGATTCAAGTCTTTTTCCAACTACTTCAAATGTATTTCTATAGTATCTAGTTGTCTTTGATAAAATATGTTGTATAAGATCACAAAAAGGCTAACAAGTTATGTTTATTTAAATTCGCAGCCCATTTGCATTGAAACATGTGTAAATATTTTTTTTAATATTTATATATATATTTATACTACATTAAAAAAATATAATATCATAACTAGAAAATTATATGAGTACAATAAGAGCAATATCATGTTATGAGGAAAAAAAGAAAGAAAAAAACCATGATTGTCAAGGATGAGAAAATTTTGGATCTTGAAAACTACAAAAAAAAAGAAACACTGCCGTTGCCTGGTCCCAAATCCATGATGAGAAAAGTGGAGTGTTGCCTTAGATAGTCGTCAGCCAGTATAAAACTTGTTGAATAATCATGACATGAATCCTTTAAATTTATTGAAATGTATCTTGCTTTAAGTCTTGTGAATATAGGGGAATGTTGATAAAATTTTTTAATGATTTCTTCCTTGTTTGATAAATAGGATATGGAACTTTCTATTCACTAGAGTATTAGCACTCTAAATTCTCTCATATGAATTAAAATGTTGTTGAGAATCATGATCATCGATGCCTTCACAAATTGGTGGGAGATGAGGTATTTCAATGATAGGCATATTGGTATTTTTTATTTTGCTTGTAAATGATCTAGTGAAAAACATTGTAGGATCAGTAGGGTATGGTACAACAACCTCTAATTCAAAGTAGTGTCTAAAATTGGTTCCAAGTTATGAGTTTTGTCACGACCCAGCCCGGCTAGCCCGAATATAACGAGGCGGGAACAGTCGGTCGTACGAAAAATACGTATAAACCATAATCAATTTCATTTTAACCTTTATAACATAACATAAATATCATCTATTAATATGAAAGAGTCACTAAAAAACATCAAATTAAAGTATTCCAAGTTTGTTTCTTCTCATATAAAAACTAAAAACATAAACTGCAACACAATTACATAAACTCCAATAAACTGTTCAGACACAGGTACAAACCACTGAACTCAAAATCAACAGAAAACATAAAATCCTTTCTTCCTGAGGCCCTCTACGACTGTAGGTATATTGTCGTCTCGTAGTCATCACATCTTAATAATATCTTCTGAAAAATATTTCCAATAATAAGATGAGCCAACGCTTAGCAAGTAAAAAACATTTATCTTAAATTCATGAAATATTTTTCTTTTCTTTCTTAAACATACCATTAAGCATCAAAATGAAACAATAAAGGATCATAATAAACATTCATGGGTATGATTTCATAAAACATTTTCATAATCATTGCATAAAACATTTCCTTAAATCCTTTTTTCTTTCTTTTTCATAAACTTTCCTTTAACTTAAATCTTTTCATTAAATGCATAAATTTCATAATCATAATATGATAATCACCCGTCCCGGAAGTACCAGAGTTTTGTACTGATCATTTACAATCTTTTGACCATTTTCTTTACCATTGGCTCCGAAGAACCCCATTACCATTTGACTTTTGCAAGCCCTTTTACCATTTGGCTTCGTAGAACCTCATTACCATTTTGGCACTTCCGGATCAACATACACATGCACTTTATAATAACTATATTCATCAAGGGATTAAAAACTATTCAATACATCATATGATATTTAATGATTTTTGGGTAATAAACTTCTGTATCTCATATGTATGAAATTGTTTAATTTGCTTTAACATTCTAAATAACATGCCATATGTATAAACAATAATTGTAAAACTAAAGCAATAATAGAAAATTCATGAACATTAACATGTAACATTTTAAAAGTGCAGAAATATTTAATTAAATTTCATAAATTCAATTTAAATGTAATTCATCTATCTTGCAAGTAGCGAACAACCACCACAACGCAACACGACGTTGTTTAACCACTTGTTGTCTCCTTAATCCACACCTAAAGATAATTATAATTGAACTAAGCATACATCAGAATTATTTTCAATAATTAAAATAATTAATTTTATAATTTCGGAATTATTTAAAATATTAAATTTTGGAAACCCTAAATCTTAAATTTCACTCAAATCTTTATTTCAAAATTATCCCTAAACATAATTTATTAATTATATTATTAATTTTCGGATTAAATTAATTAGGGAAATTAAGAAAATGAAAATTATTATAAAACTCAAAAAGTCAAAATTTTGTTTTAAATACATTCCTAAGGCCTTTAGAAACAACTTTTATAAAAGCACTTTAAAGAAATTAAAATTTTTGTAAAAAACCCTAACTTTCCGATTTCCAAAAATTCCTCAAAAAAACTTCATTTTCAATTTTTCACCATTAAATTACTTCCCTAATCCTTCCTTAAAGGGTTCATAAAGAAATTTTGTGAGAAAACGAGAATTTGGAAAATTTCTAGGAAGTTCTTTTCCAAATTACTTGAAATCTAGAGAGATTTGTTTTAAAATAATCGTACCTTAAGACTCTCATCATCGTCTTCTTTGATTTGCACTAAATTCTTCGCCGGAAAATGGCCGTTGGAGCCACCCCCGCCGAGCCCGCGGTCCACCCGTTCCTCTTGTTCTGCTCGGTTTGGCTGATGCATGCGAAAGGGAAATGAGGGAGAGGTTTTCAGTTTGCCTATTTAGAGAAATTGGAATTTGCCAAATGACTTAATTGCCCTTAAACAAATCCGGCCTTCTATTCGCTTAGGGATAAAATATGTATTATGAGACTTTGATTAATTTTAATTTCTAAAATAAGCAAGATTAGGTATATGTTTAGGAATTTATAAAATTATTTTCGTCGAATTTCATTAACTTTAATTTTACACTTAAGTCTCGTTGCGATGCATCGAAAAGTGTGCGACGATCTACGATCGTCTTTTTCAGTTTTTATAAGTTTAGACATGATGTGATCCTTTGTTTGTTGGTATCTTGGGATTTAAGTATTTTGCAATTTGCACATATTATTTATAAGAATGGAGATATCTACATGTAGGGGTGTCAATTTCGGGTCACGGGTCGGATTCGGGTCTAATCTGAAATTGACCCGGCACTATTCGAGTCAACCCGAACCAGACCCATTTTTGAAAACAGGTCGGTTTTCCGGACCCGAACCCGATCCGCTTCGGGTTTGGGTCAACCCGACATGACCCGTTTCCAACAAAAAATTGCTTGTTTTCGGGTAAAAAAGGGGTCAATCTCCTCTTTTTCGGGTAAAAAATGGGTCAATCTCGGGTTGTCGGGTCAAAATTTGATTTTTGGGTCAAAATCGGGTCAATTTCGGGTCAAAGGGTTTACCCGAACCCGACCCAATTTTGAAACGGGTCGAAATGTTGAACCCAAAACCGACCTGTTTCGGGTTCGGGTTGACCCTAACACGAAATTTTCAGGTCGGGTTCGAGTCGGGTTTTTGGGTCGTGTCAAATATTGACACCCCTATCTACAAGGATATAACTTATATATTTGATGTTTGTTGGTTAACATAGAGAAGTGCTTTAGTAATACACTATTTTGTAAAAGAATATCATGTAGACATAAAGGTATATTTAATAAAACTATAATTGTACAAACTATGTTTTATGCATTTGAGTGTTGCGAAGTAAGAAGTGATTAGTAAAATAGATTAGTGTGCAAAAATAAGAATTTTTACATGAGTGCATGATTTTTTTGTAATAATAGTTAAATAAAATTTATCTTTGTGGGATGGTTGGAGTAGCATCCATTCATGATAAGATAATGAAAAATAGAGTTAGATGATTTGGAAATGTGGAATAAAGGCAGAAGGGTTTAAAAAAACGTTGATAGAGGAGATTAATTTTGAAAGATTTGGAATAAATAGGATGGGCCATGGTTGGAATAGTATCTATTGATCATAAGATTATGAAATATAGAGTCAAGTGATTTGTAAATTTGCAATAAAGGCAGAAGATTAAAAAAAAGGTTGATAGATGAGATTACTTTTGAAAGATTTGGAATAAATATGATAGGCCAAAGTTAAGACAAGAAGAATATGTGAAAAATGATTTGTGTAAATATGTTAACAAGTTGTACAATATATTGAGAAGGATGAATGAAAGGGAGGATTCATGATGATAACTTCATTAGTTTGGCTAAATCTAATAATGATTGATGAATATAGTGATTTGATCATGAAAACTCATTATATATTATGTTTTCATAGAATTCTCAAATTAAGTTTTTACCATCTACACCAGTAGGGGCATTGTCTAGTGGGAGCTCTGATGAAAATGTTTTATAGCAGCAAACATAATGTGAATTTTTTTTTATACTTTGAGGTATCGGGAATGCCCCAGAAGCTGTCATGACCTGGCTTGGAGACTCGAATTAATGAGACGGGAACGAACAGGCGGACAATTAATATATTTTTTTCGCAATTACATATAATAGTAATAACTAATATTCCTCAAACACTAAAGAACCACTAACACTTCTTGTACATTTAATATGCATTTAAACATAACACATTTTACCTGCTTTCATTTGAACGCCGTTTTTTGTACATAAAATCCTTTCTTTCAATCATTTATACTTATCAAGAGACCTACTTGAAGAAGTTAATTTAATAAAGTGAGCTTACGAAGTAAAGTCAGTTGATATTCACCATTTCATAAACAACAGTTAGTCATATAAAATAAACATACAACTTTCTTAGTAAGTAACATATGCATTTTCTTTCATATACCATAAGTTTTATAATTTATTCTTCACATAAATTAATTCATATTCTAGTTCATTTGTCCATTTCCACTTAACATTCCTTTCTTTTTCATTTGATATTTAATCTATTTCCATTTCCATTAATATATGAGCATTGTCTAAATGTACCAATAAAGATACAACCATTTTCATTTTCATTTTCATTTCCTTTCAGCGCGCATGTATACATTGCGTCCCCAGCTAGTACCATAAGAGGGTGAACTCTTGTAATTTTTGCATGCATATTCCTTTTTCTTTTTATACTTTCCATTTGTATATTGTAATTTCCTTATTTGTTTCATGAAATTTTAAACATATGTATCATTCATATATATATATATATATATATTAGATCACTTTATATCTTTAATGCTTAGCTTTCATCATTATAAACATGATAGATTTCAAACATAATAATTGAATAATTTAATAAAACATTGTATTTAAAATTTTAATAAAATAAAGTAATGTAAACAACAATAATTAAATTGTCATGGTCTCATCCACTTCCTCATCTCTGCAACACTTAACTTAATATTATGCTTCTCTTTTAATGGCCAATATTTTGCACCATAAAGCATTTGAAGTTAACTATGTAAAGATAAAATAGGACATCCATACAATTTCTTGTTTCTTGCTTGGTACTAGATATATTTCTAGGTGGTACTAAGTAACCTAAAGCTATTTTCGTAAGGTCTATTGAAGTCAAGTTGTTGTCTTTACTTTGTTTGATAAATTTCTCCCTCTATTAAGTTTTTAAAATGGATGAGTCCATGTTGAAAATGTTACCTCTCTTGAGGCCTGGATTGGAGCAGGGCGTTTTTGATCTCATGGTTCTCTATACATATTTCCTTGCTAATTACACAGAGCGCATTACATACATTGGTTACCCCAATCATTCCCTTTATATTTATGAGCAATAATTTTAAGAAAATTGTTTACATTTTTGGACTACTGATAACCTGTGTCTTTTATTGTATTTATAGCGTGTTTAGTCAATCCATTTTTTAATATCCATGAAAAATTATGCTACTGCAGATTAGAGTCCCTAAACGAAAAGCGATCCGCAGCAGTTCAGATGGTAAAGCTTGCTGAGAAAGAGAAAGACAGCTTAGAGGTGCATATATATTTTCGTAAATGCTTTTGTGCTGTTCTATATATAAAGGAACTTATTATTGAGTTAATATTTTTTTTCCTTAGAGCGCAAAAAATGAAGCTGAAGCCTATATGCTGAAGGAACTGAGACTTTTGAAGTACAGGGAGAATGCAACTAAGCTTGCTTTTGAGGATGCTAATGCCCATGTCACTGAATTGAAGCAGAATGTCATAACATTAGAGGAAAATCTCACAACTGAAAGGTTATCATTAATTTAGAGCTAATTGTTTTTATTGTCTCAATTAAATGAAATGCTAAGAGCTTTATTTCAGAGAGAAGATTCAACACGACTTGAAGATATTGAAGGAACTAGAGAGTGTTTACAACAAGCATTTGAAAACACAGGAGGTAATATTTCAGCATCCTTTTATAGTTATGCACTCGCTTGTTATTTGAGGCCATTCAGAATCAATGTTGTTTTGCTCATGCATGGCTCAAATATAAAGGAAATTGTCAGCGTATGTTAATGTTGAGTTTCACAAGCACAGATTTATTTGTTAAAAAATTTCTTATGCACTTTTATTCTATACTTAACCTTTGTAACAGAGGCCAGCATACTCTTTATTTTGTCTTTGGGCATGTTGATTACGGGATAAATACTTATGTTGATGTTCCTGCATGCATCATGTGGGTGAACTGATTATTAAGGAGGTAAATGAGGCGAACATGAATAAACTCGCTTCTAAACTATTGAGTAAAATATAAACACCCTTAAGTTTGTTAACAAGTTGAAAAATCATGCTCATGTTATGCATAGTAAAAGCAGAGATGGCAGTGCATAATAATTCTTTTTGTTGCAAGTTGAAATACTTTGTAATATGATTTTTAAGGTAGAGAAAAAGAGCTAGATGAGGGGGTTGGATGTTGATTGAAAGATAGGTGCTCGATTGTTTTGTTAAGAGAGTAAATGCTGATGGAAGACAATAGGAGAGAGAATTCTTTGGAAAGGGGAGATTATGTTAAAGAGAGAAAGTTAAACAGAGAGAGCAATCATTAGAGAAAGAGGGCCGAGTATTGGGCTTGGAGTTTTACTCTAAGAGATGGAGAGATGCCGTGTAGAGCAGTTTAGGACACATTTTCTTGGGTACAACTATAGATAACAGGCTTATGCGACAAGAAATAGAGTTTGGTAGCTAACTTGTTGTATTTTTTTTTTTTTTTGGGGGGGGGGTTGGTTAGATGGGATTGTGTCGAGTTTTGCTTGATAAGACGATTGGAGTCAACCTAAGCCTAGGATCCTAGGGGTAGTATCTCGAACCTAAAAATAATGGAATGCAAGGGACTTACAAATCTACACCTCACATGAGCTTAAATCAGCCCGATCTATGGGCTTACAACACTGCCTAGAAAGGACCGCCAGCTAACCCACTTAAACGTTTTTATAACCATATAGTTCGGTCTCAATACATATGCAATATAGTTAAGACTGTTTTGATTTAGAAGGCATGACTTAGAACTTGACTTTTGGGTTAAAATGCCAAACCATGTGGGCATGCAAATGTTGACTTATTGAATGCAGATTTTTGTTATGTGGTTCTTATGTGAGGGCTTTTACATGTGACTCACTGGGTTATGCATGATCGTTTCATGTTTTATTGAAAAATGTGGTTTGTTTAAGTAAGTCATGCGCTTTTTTTGGTAAAAAAGAATGCATATTATCTTATGGTTTATTTTTTTATTTAGATCTTTTAATTAGTAGAAATTTTAATTTTATCCTAAAGCCTACTGTATAACACATGTCTAGGCGGCCCCTAAGCAAAAGCAAGTGAATGGACTTAGAAAAAACATGAATTTCTAATGTGCACTGAGTAAACAAACAAATTTGTGTATATATACATAAAATAAACCAACAGGAAAGTAAAATAATGTCTAAATTATTACAATTATGAGTGGCAGTTGAGTTGCTTGCCTTATGCAACTCAGTTACATTTTCTTTTACAGATTTAGCCTGTGGGTCTTCAAGCTTTGGATTTTAGATGCATCAAGGGCTTCACCTAGGGGGTTCTCCTTCTAGTTCATCTCTCATTTAACTAGGGGTGTCAAAATGGGTTTTTTTTGGGTCCAACCCGAAATTGACCAGCCCTCTATTGATCCAACAAGAACCTAACCCGATTATATAAATTGGTCAAAAATTTAAACCCGAACCTGACCTGCCCCAAATCTAGGTCGACCCAACACGTAGGCCCGGGAGAGCGAGTACAGAGTAGGTGAGTACGATGCGGGGTGTGGGGGCGAGGTGAGGGCAGACCACGAGTGAGCTGGGCGACCCTGACATGCGAGCATGACGCATTGACAGGACGTGGTGCGAGCAACAGGCTGAACACGTGGGTCTGCCACATGCAACTCGCAACGCGGTGTGGGTAGGGTCTGCCACTTTCATCGCCGATGGTGCGGCTTGTATGGAACTGTGGGTGGGAGTGGCGAGTTCGGACGAGACAGGTCAAATTTAGGTTATCTCAAACATGTCAAAATTTGGAACCCGAACCCAACTCGTTTGTTAAATGGGTTGACCTGAACTCGGATTTTTTGGTTCGGGTTTAAGTCATGTTATTTGGGCTGGGTTAATAATTGACACCCCTACTTGGTACTGTATCCCACTTGTCTACAACGCTTTTTAAGTCATAAAATATATTTAAAAAATGAAAAGACTCAAACTCGCAAAACAGGGGGATTTGGAAGCATGTAAATATAAGTAAAAGAAAACATCTTAGAGTTGCCTAACACTTAAAGTTCCAAGTCTTTTTTCTATCCAATTGGCCATTCTTCCTTGGGGGATTTTAAGCACCTACTGCAAGCAAATAACATTTGATAATCATGTCTTTTATTTACCCCATTTTGGATATGACCACTTGCAAAAAATATATATATCTCTATCATAACCACTTAAGGATAAATATGATAGACCGGTTCACCCTGTATCGGCTCAGGAGCCGGCCCAGCGGCCGACTTAATGCTATAGAAGGCAGAACGGTCCGCCCCCTTTGATTTGCTGCCCACGTGTGGGGCCCACTTGGAACAATTGAGGAAGGAGGATTGGGTGGTTAGGGAGAGAGGGAATTTTTGAATGAGGGAGAATTGAATTAGGAAACTAATTGTATTAATAAAGGGATTTGTTCTAGGGTTAGGTTTTATGCTTCTGTTTTGTTTCTCTTGAAGTTTCTTTGGCGTCTTGGGCTCTAGGCACCTTGTTTAGAGATTTGGGAGACAACGATCCTCCTCTCGAATTGAGGATCAATTGTATCTTGCTTGGTATTTGTTTTGGCTTTGTTTCTCTTCTAGCAATCTACCATTTGGGGCTATTTTCGCCCAGATTTTGCATTACTCTTGCTGTTTTCAACAATTAGAGATAGGTTTGCTTGCGAACTCAAGTATTTCCATTAGTGTTACTTGCGAACTCAAGTATTTCCTATCAAATTGGTATCTGAGCAAGTCTTGAGACCGGTGGAGGACTGTTTTCGGCAAATTACAACAGTAGTTTTTTGCTAAAAACAAGAAAAAGTTGTTGAATTTTGACCCCAAAATCTTGATTTTGTGAACCTACAAACTTCAGATTGTGTTGGCGGCCAAAAAAGTGGATGCCTTGGAGGAAAGACTTGAAGGGGAGATGAATCAAATCAAAACGACGGTGGAGGAAAGGATTTCTTCAATGGAGGGACAAGTTGTCGATCTTCGTGATATGATGAAAAAAATGTTAGAAATTCAAAATCAAACGGCGGTTTCAGTGGCAAAAGGTAGGGAAGGAAAAAATAAAATTCTGAAATTCGTAGGGAGGAAGATGAGGTGGAAATCATGGAAGGAGAGGGAAGAAGATCCCATATGGAGCCTGTCAAGAGGGAAGAAAGAGGAGGTGGATATGGGGAATGCCATTAGGGATACTTTGGTCGTCGAGGTGTTGATTTTGAAGAAAGAAGGGGGGATTTCTAAGGGGGTTTGGGCTATGGCAGAGCAAGGGAAGATCGAGAAACATGGGGTGGACCTAGCACTTGGGAGAGGGGAAATTATGGAAAAATTAGGGGAAATGGTGGCGACCAGAAGGTGAGGAAGTTGAAGATGCCCATATTCGAAGGAGAAGATGCATATGAGTGGATTTACAAGGTAGAGCGATACTTTGCCGTCAATGGTCTGACGGAGGAGGAGAAGCTGACAGCAGCAGGATTGTGCTTGGATGTAAAAGCCCTGTCGTGGTTTCAGTGGAGAGACCAGAGGAGGCCTATTAGGAACTGGAGGGAATTCGAAGACTACATAATAGAACGTTTCCAAACCGAGCGGGGAGGAGATTTCTATGAGCAGTTCTTTGCGCTGACACAGGAGGGATCGGTAGCAGACTACCGACAGCAGTTTGAGCACCTAGCTAGCATGGTGGAGCGACTCTCAGATACAATATTGGAGGGAAATTTCATGAAAGGGCTGAAGGCGGAGATCTGAGCAGCAGTGAAGGTTCTGATGCCTCATGACTTGGGGGAGGCCATGAGGTTGGTCCAACTGGTGGAAAATCAACCAAATTTGGAGAGAAGAGCCACGAGTAGCAGCACCAGGGGCACTTACAAGATGACGACCACTCATCTAGCTCCTAAAGGTCCTCCAACAGGAGGGAGTTGTGAGGCCACCAAGGAGAAGACATGAGGATGGAGTGGGGGAAATTTCAAGCGGTTGACAGAGAAAGAGATGTTGGAGAAGAGGGCTAAGGGCACGCTAGGTGCGATGAAAAGCACACACCAGGACATCAGTGCAAGGACTGAACTCTTGAGGTTTTCATTGTCTGTGATGACGAGGAAATTGAGGAGGGAGGTGAGGAGGAGATAGAGGAAGAGATGAATGATAAGCTACACTTTGATCTAGCTGAGGTTTCCCTGAATTTAGTGGTAGGGTTCACTACGAATCATACCATGAAGGTGAAGAGAGAGATTAAGGACATGGAGGTGGTGGTGCTGATTGATAGTGGGGCTACTCACAATTTCATTTTCACCCAGGTCATCGATCAACTGAGAGTGAGATTGGTGGATATCGGCTATTATGGGGTGATGATGGGTACATGAAAGGTGAAGAAATGTTAGGGGATTTGCAGAGGAGTGCGACTGATGATCCAGGGGATACATGTGAGGGAAGACTTTCTTTCGCTAGAGCTTGGGAGTGTAGACATCATCCTGAGGATGAAATGGTTGAAAACTTTGGGGGACACCAAAGTGAATTGGGGTGCACTCACGATGGAGTTGATGGTGGATAGGAGGAAGGTGGTGATTAAGGGAGATGCGGGGCTTTTCAAATCCCTGGGTTCTCTTAAAATGATGGTGATGGACATTCAGTTGGCGGGCGGAGGGTATTTGGTGGTGCTGCACAGTTTGGAGGGA